GTAAAATGTGCCTTGCAAACAACAGCTGATTGAGATGGACTCCACGATTTCATCGTGTTCTCGTCCAATCTGCGTATGGGCCATGGCGTTGATCCAACTTTTCCTTCTTTTTAAGTCATTTGGAAATGCATGTCCTCCTCTTAAATGACATCCAGGTACACAACAACAAGTACTTGGCATCGTTAATTAAAAATGCAACTGTAATAGTTGCACAGTGCAGAAACCGGAAGTTGAAGTACAGGATCGGCTACCACGGCGCCACCTATTCAGGAACGATAATTTGCTACTTTATATAACTGCGAAATAACAATAACGTTAGACGGGTTCACGTGCATAAACAGAAATGCGCTTTAAATTGTATAATATAATTCATGTTCAGTCGACCTTTAATTATTATATCAACGACTGAAATGATTTATAAACATATCGATTGCAGATAACACTCGAAATTAACCCGAGCTCTTTCCACACGGAATTCAAATAATTCTAGTTTGTCAATCGGTTGACTGCTTATAATGTAAAATACAAATATATCAAAAGTTTTTAAAACTAACAAAACACAATGATCGTTTCTCTATTTCCCAATGTAAATGAAATGAGACAAAAAACATTTTATACCACAATAAGAAGAGGAGAGAATCAACATTTTCCGGATCTACTTGGAGCTAAATGACCCCCCACGTAGATAAGTTGGATATCGCGGAAAGAAATATTAACACGGCAACTAGAAAGGCATTAAAGCACTGCCTTTAAAAAAATAAATGGAAGTTGGTACTCCAGGAATTTATTCGCATAGTAACATTTAAAACCAATTTTACACAAAGCTCCTATAGACTGCTGTACTCATTTGCTATTTTAGCATTATATGAAAATTTTGTGTTTATTTCAATTCATTTCTGTTGTAACTTTTTATCCAAATGTTTTCTTGTTAATTTATAATTAATACCATCCTTGTTTAAATGGGACAAACATTGAGATGATCAAGTTTTCAGTGTTTGCTGGGAAGGTAATATTTTGTCACTTAAGATTTCCCCTGATCAATAACATCATGGAAAATCAGCACCAAAAACAGAAACTCAGAAAATATTGGTTAACACAGGCACTTGGCCTTTACCCTGTTGACATAGGTTGCCATGTTGTAAAGCATATGATTTCCTGCAAATTTGTATTCTGATAACCAAAAACAGACTCTGACCTCTTTTACCTGACATATAATATCACACTTTTATATTTTGTGATGATAAGCAAAGTTAGATATAATTTTTGACTAGTGTTTAACATAGTCTAGTGTTATATATAGCAAGTATTAAAGACAACCTAGCTAGTTAATTGTTATTTAAGGCAGAAGAAACAATAATATACATGTACCATATTTTGAAATATTCTCCAACTTTACTTGGATCTATAAATGTAATTAACTATGTCAAAATTAAAACAACAAATTTTAGGATTCTTTTAAAACATCAAAATATTTTAATTGTTCATAACATTAATCAGTGATATAATGATCTATAATGATATATGAGATCAACTAATAAATTTTGCTCCTGCTGTATGGGTAATTCAGCAATTTCTTTTTGTGTATTTCATGTGTATTCATTAGACAGTGATATTGTTGTCTTTTTTCAAAACGACCTCTACCGTTTTTTATTGGGAAAAATGCATATTTTTTAATGAAATTGGGAAATTTGTATATTTTATTCTACACACATCTCCGATTTTTTGCTGACCTTTGCTGTCTTTTTTGTACTGTTTTTTCATGTATATTTTGGTTGTCAGACATTTTCAACCTGAAAGGTACTTTTCGGAGAGGGAAAAGAAACAGAAGCAATGATGGTACTTAATGCATTGAAACCCACATGTGTTACAAACACCATGATGATTCTGATCAGAAAACCGGATCTCAAAAGTGCTTTCTAATATCAAAATAATAACATGAATACGATATTTACAAACACTACTACCAATGCCATCACTGTTTGGGGAAAATGTAAAACTTTTTGGGAGGAATTTTAAGCCATTTTTTTTAGTAATTGGGAATTTTCTCTAGGGGAAAAAGCCGAATTTCGGCTGTAATTTGTGGCAAACAATATCACTGTTAGAAGAATACTTATTATAAAATTGTGGTGTTATAGTCTACTAACTTAAATATTGTTCAATGCATGATGGTTTTGAAGTGCATTTTATAAATTTGATTTCCTATTCATATACATTAGTGCTTATTCAATCATCAAATTAAGCTTAAAAGGAAATCATGCTTCCTCAAATTTCTTTAGATTTGGACATGCATAAGTGACTTCTATTTATGATGATCACACCTTAGTGAATGTTTTTTCTTTATGATAAAAAAATGTCACTATTGTTTGATCAGTTTGGACTTTGGAATCATTTAAATTCATGAGGTGTTTATTAAATTTCTGATTATATTATTGTTAACTTAATTGAGACATGAAGTAAATGAGCTTTCAATTATGGTAACCAGCCTGAAATAATTTTGTTGATGGGTTTAGTTTAACCTACATTAAACACTGACCCACAAAGCATAAATATGTTTCTATTTAAAATATATTTTTACTAGGAAGTACTCCTGTATTGCTTGGTAAAACAAATTAGTACTCAATTATTAACTCTTTGCTGAGTTGACATCTCTAACTAATAGTTTAACAAAAGGTTAGAGCCCAGAAAGGTTTTTTGAACACATGCACAGGAAAGGCTATGATTAACTAAGTTTTTACCATGACTTTTAGTGTATTAATTTCCTCTTTATGTTGCACACTTTCAGGTAGTGGCCAATAGCGGTAATCAAATTTCATCAAAGAAACTGAAAAGGGTTTTAAAGTTTCAGAGTGGAAATGATTTGTGACAGACAGCCACATGCATAGAAAACTTTTGACACCGTTGAACATCATCTTTTGTGGTTTAGATTACAGCGCGTTGGTGTCCGTGGACAGTTTATAGCTGCGATTCAATCATTGTATAATGACTGAAATGTACCCTTCGTACCCCTTGGTTCAGTGTAGATGCAGGTGTGAAGCAGGGCTGTATCCTATCACCCACTTTGTTTTCGGTTCACATCAATACATTGGCAGATTGTATAAACTCTCTAGAATGTGGAGTACATATTGATGATTTCTGTCTCAGTTTATTGCTTTACGAGGACGATATACCGGTAGCGCTAATAGCTCCAGATAAAGAAAGTTTACAACGTATGTTAAATGTAGTACCCAAATGGTGTGCTGAATGAAAGTTATCTGTAAATATAGGTAAAATGAAAATTGTCCATTTCCGTCCACAGTCATTTTTACGTTCAAATTTTTCGTTCCGATGTTCTGGAAAAAGTATAGACTATATTGATTCATATAAATATCTTAGTGTGTGGATGGACGAACATTTAACTTTTGTAAAAAATGCAAAAGAATTGGCCAAAGCAGCGAGCCTCGCTTTGGGTGCTTTAATTACAAAAACTCAATCCATGGGAGGGATGACTTATAAAGTGTATAATAAACTGTATACGTCCGTTGTTGAACCAATTTTACTTTGTGGTAGTGGAATCTGGGGCACAAAATCGTTCAGTGCCATATCAGCGGTACAAAACCGAGCATGTAAATTTTTCTTATCGGTGGGGAAGCGCACATAGAACATCGCTTCACGTGGTGATATGGGATGGACTTCACCAATAACTAAACAACAAATAAATAATTGTAGACTTTTGTGCAAGTTGATCCCTTCTGACCAAAATAGAATTACTTACAAACGTTTTAAATGGACATCTAGAAGAAGAAAAGGTTGGACATTTGAAGTGCATAAGATTGTTGATCGGATCAGACTAATGGATTCGACGTATGACTTAACACTATCGACTAAATCAGTTATGGATATAATAAGTGAAAGACTATCTGAACTGGACAACACAGAATGGTATGAAGACCTTTTTGATGACCGTCGTAATGTAAAATATGGAAACAAATTACGCACATACAGATGTTATTAACAATGTGTGAAAACAGAACCTTATGTATATCTAAAAATTTCTAAACAGGAAAGGCGTGTTATGGCTCTGTTTCACACCGGAGCTCTACCGCTAGCGCACGAAACTGGCAGATACCCCAGGCCGCCTGCACCCGTAGAAGACAGACTTTGTTTATTTTGTGAAAGTTTTAGTGTAGAGACTGAAAAACATTTTCTTCTGGAATGCACGCTATATGAAGATATTCGATATATAGATATAAGAAGATGTGGTATGACTGAGTGCCAATGAGACAACTTTCCATCCAAGTCAAAATTTAAAAAAGTAAACCATTATAGGTCAAAGTATGGTCTTCAACGCGGAGCCTTGGCTCACACCAAACAGCAAGCTATAAAGGGCCCCAAAAATTACTAGTGTAAAACCATTCAAACGGGAAAACCAACGGTCTAATCTATATAAAAAACGAGAAACAAGAAACACTTATGAACCACATCAACAAACGACAACTATTGAACATCAGATTCCTGACTTAGGACACCTTCTTCATGAATGTTCAAAAATTTATTCAAGATTTTCACAGCCTTGATATAGATAATAAATTTATTGAAATTATGAACTGTTATGATATACAATATTTCCTATGCAAATTTTCATATAAATTTTTCTGGCGTAGAAAATTGTTTTACAGCTGTTTATGAAATTTTTATAAGCCTGAGATTTTTATTTGTTTAATTTTATCAGAAAAAGTAAGAATTAGACAATTTTAAATGTATATACAATAATTTGAATATATTGATTAGTAATTTTTAATGGTTAATTTTTGTGACTTGTATGTTTTTACCTGATATATTTGAAATTTTTATAGAATTTGAAGTTTTATAGTGTCTCATTAGTCGTTTTTATGGCTGGATATTGATTGTTTTAAGTGTATATAATTATAAAATGTTGCTTATATTTATGTCAATCAATATGTGACACTTTAATAAACTATTTACTTACTTACTTACATAGACAGGCAATAATAACAACTTACCTTTACTATCTCATGTGTATACAGTAAATACAAACAAAGTAGGAACACACCTAAAATGTAAATGGGATATATATACAATCTATACTCTCATAACACATGAATTCTCTTAAGTAGTTTTATATATATAAAGAATGTTTTTAGAAGAATTTGAATATTTCTTCTTGAAAACTACATCCGGTTAAGACTTTTAGACACATTAAATTACTGTATATATGGTTTTTTTTTTTAAGTCATTTTTTTTGTGATTTGATAACAAAATTGGCAGGCTGAATTTTTAGTGTATATTATTTTCGCTCTGTGGGAAAATAGATGAGAAAAAAATCATTGTAGTGTATGATAATTAAGTTTCGAACAACATAAAGTTAACTTAATTGACTGAAAGAGAATCAATAACAAATAAATATGAGTGCTATAAACTAAAATACATATAGAATGAATTTCATAACAGCATGAACATGGACACCTGGTAATTAAATGTTATGTGTGTATCACTGGCTGTTGACAACAAAGACTTCAAGCAATTAGAGTATGTCAGGGGCCTCTCAATGGGGATATACATAATTACTATCTATACACATGCCCATTCATAAAATAAAAGTTTTTGCATGAAAGTTTATAGGAATTTGTTTTGAATATATTTATATACTCACAACAAAAAGTTTCTTTTGATAAAATGAGAAATCAGAGAAAAAAAAAACGTTATGTTTTTTCTTGCACAAACTTTCTGTGGCTCCTTAAAAAAATAAGAAAACATTTATTCATACGAGTTGATGTAGAGTAACCTACGATCAACTTTTATACTAAGATTATATTTGTTGGTAATAAGAAGCCCAGACCTTCATTAAAAAGTCATTTTAGTCCTCTGGGCTGCATAATTTATAGCACAGAACAAATTTGAATTACCGTCGAAGACTCCAACGATCAGATTTTCGTGAAACATTTAAATATCATTTAACAAAAATAACTCGTGGAAATATCAAGAAGCATATGAATCTGGTCTTGTGTGCAAAATTTACGCTATTGGAGTCAGAGTAGCTTTTGTGGAAACACTGATATTTATTTTAATTTTTGTTATACCTGAACACGTATAACAAAAGTTACAGGACCTATATTATTTTACTACAAATCAAGCAGGTAATTTTAAATAATTTGGTCTTACTCAACTATTGTATTTGTTATTTGAGGACGCATATTTGAGACAATTCTGGATAAACTTTATAATTTTATTCATGCTGATTTCAAAAGCCTCTTGCATAGGCACCCCTCCCTTATCTTAACTGAATCAGAAATGGTCGATCCCTTACAATTTGAAAATGTACTCACTTCTTTTTCGGTTTCTGTGTTTCAATATACATCCATGAATTTAAGGATATGTTCACAATACTGAATACTAAATCATGTGCACAATACTAAACTGGTCAACTGTAACATGAGATAATGTACAGGTTATTATGTCAACATAACATTAACAGTGTAATAATAACCTTTAAAATGGGTGCACTTGTTTAATTATTCTAGTATAAAAGGTATTGTGAACATATTTAATTCATCGATAGGTAGTACTGAAACACAATTAAAAAAATTAAGTACAATTCTAAATTAAATCGCTGTGATCCGTCCATTCGTTTTTCAAATCAACAGAACAGCTGCATTTAACAGGTCGGGATCATTTCCCGATACGGACATGTATTATTCAGCATACTAATATGCCCCTGTCAATGCATGTATTAGTGTTTGTTTACAAATAAAGCATTTTTTTTTTATTTTGGCGATTGACCAATCCACTGAATGATTTGCAATGCATGATGGACTACATGTCTATAACTGACACACTACTTAATTTTTTCACTTATTGCTAGAAAAGAATCTTTCTTATTTTCTTTCTCTTGGTTACTTGGTGATATCAACTCTGAATATACTCATTCTTTCAAAAGAATCTTTTTGTTTTGAGTATATAAATATATTCAAAACAAATTCCTATAAACTTTCATGCAAAAAAAATTATTTTATGAATGGACATGTGTAAAATAGTAAGTATGTATATCCCCAGAGAGGCCCCTGACATACACTAATTGCGTGAAGTCTTTGTTGTCGACAGCCAGTGACCGACACAATATCATTTAAATATCAGGTGTCCATGTCCACACTGTAATGAAATTCATTCAAATTCAAATTTCGGAGAACATTCAAGAAAAGTAAATACCCATTGTGGCATGTTAAAACAAGAGGCTTCTAAGATCCTGAATTGCACACCAGAAATTTTTTGTGTAGACCTTGCATCAATGTTTATTTTGAAGTTTAATGTATATCAATGCATGTTTAAACATGCCTTTCTATCATAGATTTGGCAAAAAACTAAAAAAATTGGTAAAAAAAATTATTTTCAAGGACAATAAATAAGATTAACTCCTATAAGAAATCAATTGACATTTTCGGTCAAGTTGACTTATCACTAGGTCTTATTTTTCTAAAAATTCCAGTTTTTTCCCCCTTTTTGGACCCTTATTCCTAAACAGTTGGGCTATAATCCCCTAAATCAATGAATCCCAACCTTCCTTTTGAAGTATGGAACCTTGTGGTACAATTTCATAGAGATCCATACACTTACACACAAGTTGTTGTCCTGAAACAAGAAAAATGCTTGTTTTTGGCCATTAATTCCAAAACAGTTAAGACAACGTCATAAAATTAAACAAGGCAAAAAATTTGCAGTCGTATAAAAATATGCTAAAAATTATCTTTAAAGGGCAATAACTCCTATAAGGAATCAAATGACAATTTTGGTCATGTTCAACTTATTTGTAGCTCTTACTTTGCTGTTTGAAGTTTCTCTATATCTATCAAAGTTTCTATGAAAAACTAAAATTTTAGTGAAAATTATCTTTCAAGGGCAATAACTCCTATAAGGGATCAATTGATAATTTCCGTCACTCGATTTATTTGTAGGTCTTACTTTGCTGAACATTTTGCTGCTTAAAGTTTCTGTCGATCTATCATAGTTTTGAAATAATCTAAAAAAATTAGTAAAAATTATCTTTCAAAGGCAATTACTATTGGTAGCTCTTCCTTTGCTGAACATTTTTGCTGTTTAAAGTTTCTGTCTACATATCTTCCAACACTCCTGTTTTGAGCGGGAGTATCCCACACAAATGATGAAATTCTGGAACCCTCTGGCTTGCTGGTACGCTCCCGCATTAGGATATTTTAACCCAGATAACCCACGTTTGTATTTCTCGGTGATCTTTCATTACTTACAATAGAAATAAATAAACAATCTGAGATCATTTGACAACTTTGGTCAATAGTTTCTATGTACGATTTATAAGTAATCGAAAATCCATTTCTGCTATGTCAACTCCAACAAGATAGATGTCTTTGTCTGGACCAAACAGCAGTGTAAAAAAGAAGAAATATAACTGCAAATTTCAAGCAGATTGGATGAAGATTTTCAATTTCCACGACCAAGTTCACTCGGCAATGAATCTTCATTTTGCACATTATATTCAATCAACTTTTCGGTTGTTCTGGTGGTCTGTTTAAAAGCATGCTTAGTGTGCAACTCACAACAAAATCAAAATATGAAATGTTATGAGTATTGTCCTAACTCAGAGGTATTGAAAAAGGCAAAAAAACTTGTATAAATTTAAACAATGAATTGAAGAAATAAAGTATAATTTTTAACTCTCACTGGTGTTTTGTAGACAAATAAGCGTACAGGTCATATATTTAGCTTGAAAATGTCCTTCGCACAAAATCTCGTCCTCAGCTATCATAGCTGAGGGGGAGATCTCCCTCATTGAAGGTTTCAGAGGTTGGCAGGTACGTGTCTATTTATCAATGTTTCTGGAAAAAAACTAAAAATTTTTTAATAAAAATAGTTTTTCAAGGGCAATAACTCCTGTAAGGGATCAATTGACAAATTCTGTTCTATGACTTATTGGAAGATGTTACTTTGCTGAACATTTTTGCAGTTTCAAAGGGGTAAGTTCACGAAGGGTTAAAATTGGCCCTTAGAATTTGATGTTTTCTTTAATAAAGCCAAAATACTACAAATTTCACATAGAAATAGTTGTGATATAAATATAACTATTAATACAAAAATAACTTCTTTTTTGGCACAACATATTAAAATGACGAAGAAATGGCACCTCAAGTATGCATTATTTGTGGTGTAATGTCAGTTTTGGTCTAACTTTCAATAATTCTTAACAGTTCTTAACATAATTTACTTTTGATTTTGCCCTTTAATCAGGAACTTTCCATTTTGAATTTTCCTCGGAGTTCTGTATTTTTGTGATTTACTTTTTACTTTATCCAGAAAGTTTTTGTGTCGAGGGATTCAATATCATTTTTGGCAACATTTTGGATCTTAGGTGGTGTCTCAAGCTCAAGCTTTTAGGTCTGAAAAATGCACAAAATCATTGTTTTTTGACAATATGCCAAATATGTGCTGACTCTGAAGCCTGGAATATAATCTAGTGAAGAGATTTGTTTAACCTAGTAGTAAGGCTTTTTGAAATAGATCCATGGTTTAAGATCTAAACTACAGCCATTTTGATATTTTATGATAAAGTTGAATTTCAAGGCCATATTTGGCTTAAAGTGAACCTTTTCCTTTCTCTCTTTAACTATGATAACAACCAAAAAAATCCAGGGTGATGTTCGGCTTAGTCTTTTTTTATAATGTAATATGTAATATGCTGGCATATTATGAAAGCTCACGCCTTAATTGATAGACATAGAAATGAAGAAAAAACGTATGATAACCAAAACAAAATTTTCTTTTTGATTTCTGAAATCTTGAAGAGAAAAAAATGTCTGCCCCCAACACCATTTTTTTTTAAACTCCCCCCCCCCCCCCCCCTTTTTTCCCTCAAGACATGGTCATAATCTCAATTCAAATTTCCCAATGGAGTTTGCAACCATAATAACACATTAAAATACATCATAAAAGTCTTAAAATAGAAAATGACATACATAATCATAGCTAAAATTAATTTACCTTAATCAGCATTTTTAAAATTATCAAAATAGTAACTTCTAACTAGAG